TAAAAAAAAAACCAAACCAAACAAAAAAACTTTTAAAGAAACAAAAGCAGAAAATCCTTGGACCGATGTATTGCTTTGCCTAGTAGGAGTTCACATTATCTCTGGTCAATTTCGGCAGGTGCTGCCTTGCTTTTGTCAGCATTTTCCTCCTCGGTCTCCACTTTGTACATCTCCTCGGAGCCTTCCTCGCTGTCATTCTCCTCTGACTCGGTCAGCAGCTCCTCGTCCTTATACTCGGCCACGTCCACTGCGGAGCCCAGGTGCTCCTTCAGCTTCCCGTGGTGCTTCACGTGGTACCGCTGGTTCTGGAAGAACTTGATGATGGTGTGTTTGGGGAGATCCAACTGGGCCGAAAGAGTGTGGATGGCTTCCTGGTCAGGGTACAGGCCTACATCATGAATAAAGCTTTGGAGGATCCCCAGGGCTTCTAAGGAGATCTTTGTGCGAGACCGGGGCTTTTTGGCACAACTGTCTTCAGTTGGAGGAGGTGGGGGAGGCGCTTCTTCTCTGGGAGGGGAACTCTCCTTGGCTGGCTGAGACTGCTGTCTATGAAGGACCTGATAATTAAAAGAGAAAAAAAAATGAACATTGGACTCATGATTTTGTCTTTCCAAAGCCATTGGCCCTCTGAAATATGTGTTACCTATCTAGCACTGGAGGTAAGCTATAGTCATTTGTAAAGTCAGGTCTTTGGGAGGCTTAAAAGCATTTCTGGAGATTTAGTATTTCACCTACAAAACAGGAGTTATAATAGTATTTGCCAACAATTAGTAGTATTTGCCAATATTTATATACTGAGACAAAAAGTCAAGTCATTTGTTGCCCAAGGTCATCTTGATTTAAGCAACCTGGCTTCAGAGTCTTTCTATATCTTTAACCACCAAGCTATGCCACCTCTCAGAAGGCTAACAGCAAAGAAACTGGACGCAAAGGGGAAAGTATGGACTCTACCATCATGGCTTCAAGTTCATATTCTTCTACTTAGCTGAGTATCCCTGGACAAGTCACTTAATATCTTTAAGCCTCGATTTCATCATCTATCTAAGTAGGATAAGAAACTAACCTGCTGGGGATGTGGTAAGGATTAAATGACATAATTATTAAAAAGAACAATGCTTGTCTTAAATTAGGGATTGGCAAACTTCTTCAGGAAAGGGCAAGACACTAAATATTTGAGGCTTTGGAGGGTCAATCTCTGCCACAACTACCCAATTCTATTCTATTGCATAAGCAAATGAACATGGCTGTGCTCCAATAAGACTAGATTTGGCCCATGAGTCACAGTTTGCCTCATCTCTGGCTTAGAGCAAATATCCAATAAATGACAGTAATTATTATCAGTCTCATAGTGACTCTTACAGTATTATAGAGGAATAATTGATACTTAAGCCAGGAAATCAATCCTTTGTAAAATTAGAAATTATTTTAGATTCTTTTGGTTCTAATTTTGATCCTTTTGATTTTAAATGTACTTTTTTAGAATGTGAAAATGTTTCAAACTAATTTAAAGACATAACTGTTTCTTAAGTTATGAATTTAAATGACTATTTTATACTTACATAGATGGACTTTCTCAATATCACTATAAATTAATTAATCCTCTGTTTTGCATATACTTTCTAATTTCTGTGTTTTTTTCTCCTAACGTTAAAACTTTTTAGTGTAATTTAAATAATTTTTCTTTCATTTCTACCTATTCCCCACTCATTTAAATGAAAGCAAAATCTTAGGTGAACTTACTCTTGATCTTCATAATTACTTAAACAAAATCTCTCTGCATGAAATAATTTCCCATTCTAATATTAATTGTATTAACTTCTTCAGTTTGATGAAAGAAAGCGATTCAGGGGAAATTGTCAAAGGAACTCAGCCCCGGCAATCCCCACAGGCCTATGTGAGAAGGACTTGGTAACGGGGGAGATGGAGCATGAAGTCCTGATGAGGAACTGTGGCCACTGCCCGCACCTTACAGCTTCAGCTGTATAACAGAATTACAAGGCTACTGTGCTCTACCGCTTACAATGTGTCATGTTGGCGCCAAAGGCAAAAGACCACATTACCTATGCTTACGTCAGTGCCTAATTTCCTAAATCCCCCCAAAACTTTTAAGAAGAGTGAGTTCACTTTTTAAAAAACACAATTCTCCTTTTACTATTCTCTCATATGTTATGGATCTTTTTCGCATAATAACAAACTAAACATTTTCCAGAGTTCAGGAGGAAGAAATCCAACCAATTCAAAGAAAACACGTTTAGTTACATTTGAGGATCATTCGTACTGCCATCCCTGCCACCTTTCTACCACCACCACACACTACCCATATGATTCATGTGTTTTAGCTACGAAACATCAGCATCAAAGAAAGCATTTAAGAAAGAAAAAATCTCTGCCATTCATCCTTGTCTTGAGGGACATATGATGAAAAGATACTTTCCCACCAATGTGAAAATGTCGGTCTTTTATGTAGAACTTAATAAGTATCAGGGCAGATGAAACTGTTATCTAAATAAGGTAGCAATAAACAAAAGAGGTTTAAACTTTTCAAGAAATAATCAAAAATCAAATAACAGTAAAAAGGATAATCAGAAGCAAATAAGAGTATTCGCTATAATAAGCTGATGGCTAGTGGCAGAAAGAAATCCTAAGCACAGGACTATAAAACAGTGGCACTAAAGTCTGTATAATGTTGACCAATTAAAATGAATGTTCTTAGCATTTTGCTTACCACTTTCAACTAAGAGTAAACTCATGTGGTCTGTTGTGGTAAGCTGGCATCAGCAAAAAAAAAGTGAGAGCTCTGTTACTTCAGCATCCTAATTATACCCAGCAGGGAAAGCAGAGATCCGGGGAGGTGGTGGGAGTGGCGGGAGGAACTGGTGCTGGTCAGGTCAGCTTTCACGGCAGAAGGATATTTGCTCTGAGGCCATGATCTGGACAGTATGAGCATCGTAATAAATAAACCTCTGTGTCAACAGGTGAGGATTCCAGTTTTTGATGAGAGAGAGTGAAATTATGTGCAAAGTACATACTGGACTCAAGCATGAGTACTCCCCATTAGAGCAATTGTGCTAATTGGAAAACAAAAGAGAATTAAAATGCCCCATTTTCTAAATTATGCTTGCCTTCTGTAGTAAAAGTCAGCATAACGGTTCCATTTAATTGAATAATTAGATTGGTTCTTCAGGGACTTTCCATTGTGCATTGGTTAGATTTAAAGAGATTTTCCAAAACTATACTTTGAAGTTACTATAATCTTTCTGCATGATTGCATTTCTTCTTCTCCTTAGGTCCAACCAACTGGCCTACCTCACTCCCCCTTATTTCCTAGAACTGAGCACTAGTAATACACATGTACAGAGAAGCCAAACATGAAACAGAGAAAGAACAGTAAGAATACCCCTCACTGAATATTTATTCTGTGCCAGGCAGTTCTAAGAACTTTACAAGGATAAATTAAATGAATCCTGACAAGTTCCTCACAAAGGTGCTATCTGGATCAAGGCTGAACTGAAAACATGTAACATTTCCTCTTGATTCCAATTCCCCTCTGAATTGGAAATTACAAGCACAGGGGGCTGTCAGTCTGATAAAGAAGGTTTCCAGGGAGCAATGACAAGGCAACTGCCCGTGATACACTAGGAAGATATTTCTCAAGAGAAGTAATAGCAAGGAAATCATCTACAAAGTAAAATATATAGTTTCTCATCAGATAATGTACCATACCATAGTCAGTTGGGCGGCATGATGACATCTACATGAAGATGGTTATGTCTTCTAGCATCTTTTAAGATGCTAGAAGAGGAAAGAGCAAAACACTGAATGCCCAAATTGGCCTCTCTAAAGTGAAACTGTCTTACAAGTTACCAAAGGGGCTGAGCTTTTTCTATTATACTGACACTTTTCTTTGGCTATAAGTCCCTCAATCACAATATATATAATATCTGAGATTAAAAGATTCCCAAAGTTATCTGTCCCAACTATCTGTATTCCCCTAAAATGTTCTAATTACTCCAGGCAGAGAGTTACTGTCTCTAGACAATTCCTAGCAAAAGGAGTACATAATTTCCTCTCTAACCAATGGCTAAGAATCCTTCTTAATACCATTTGGTACTTTCTTCTAGTGGTATAAGTACTCTGAACAAAAGCAGAGCAGTGCCTAATGCTTATAAGACGGTCTTCTCTAGGCAGGAAAACCAATCCAAATCCTCTTCTAAAATCTTCCCATTTAAAGGGCAGAATCAAGTCATCTTTTCTTCACTTTCTCACGTTTTGACTAAATAATGTCAACTCTTTTAGCCGTTTTTTCACAGGAAGTTTCTGAACTCCCCCTTAACTGATATTTAGGGCTGTTTTTTTTTTTTTTTTCCCCTGGTCTGCATTTCTCAGAACATCTTCTTAATTCCCAGCTAGTGAACTAGAATGAATCAAATTTGGTCTCTGTCCCAAGCAAGTGCCCTGAAAATCATGACGTTGATTGCTGATGGAGAGACCTATAAGTGGTTTCATTCCCAGGCTCATTTGACAGTTTGGGCATACATTTTTGGTTGATTAATATTTTAAGTCACAAAATTCACAGTTAGTCCAACTAAGAGAATGCCCTGCAAAATGAAAAAAATTCTCTTTCCAAAGTAGTCCTTAATGCAGTCAGATTATAGTTTTCTGAGATTTTCTTTATGTTAAGTTTAACTGAGCATCTTCCCAACCATTTATGAAAAGCTGGCAGGACCAAGGACTTTCCAGCATTACCTTGTTTCCCTTTCTCAAAATGGGCCCAGTGGAGGGGAAATAAATTCTCATTGATATTACCTATGAATACCAAGCATACAAACACTGCATAAACCAGAAATGAAAGCCTATGTCCTCTAAAAAGCTCAAAGCAGTTTAGTCATAACTGGAAACAACCCAAGTGTCTACCAATAATAAGATTGATAAATAAATTGTGATATACTTATATAACAGAGCAGTAGGAAAAATGAACTACGGCTATACACACAAATGTAGATAAATACCACAGACTTACTGTTGAGTGAAAGAAGTCAGATACAAAAGACTAAAAACTGTATGATTCCATTTATGTGAAAGAATAGGAAAAACAAATTAATATATAAGAATAGAAAAAAAAATAAGAAAAGCCTACCTTGACAGATACCAGCATAATGGGTTTCCACTGAGGTTTACTGAGTGGAAGGGGTGGAAGACAGCCTTCTGAGATGTTGCAAATATTCTCTCTATTGACTTGCGTGTTTGTTAAAAGGATGTGTGTATGTCTAAAAGATTATCAAGCTGTACAATTAAAATCTGTGCATTTTACTGTATGTAAACTATACCATATTTCAATATAAAAGTTTTTAAAAGTGGGCTTAGTAGTTGGCATTTATTTATTCCTAAGGTAAACCCTCTTCATGTGATTTTCCCAAATAATGGAATATTTAATTCTGTAAGCATAACTATCCACTCCTTTTTACCCTTGATCTTTGCACACTGAAGCCTATCAACTCATCCTACTTCTTTTTTGGTTTGGATTTTTCTCCATCAACACTAAAGTTAATCTAGATAA